GAGCATTGAAAGACAAACGGCCGCGATACAACGAGAGACACGATAAAGTCATTTTGCAGCATGACAATGCTCGACCTCATGTTGCGAAAGTGGTCAAGACATACTTGGAAACGTTGAAATGGGAAGTCCTACCCCACCCGCCGTATTCTCCAGACGTTGCTCCCTCTGACTATCACTTGTTTCGATCAATGGCACACGGCCTGGCTGACTAGCACTTCCGGTTTTATGAAGAAGTAAAAAATTGGATCGATTCGTGGATCGCCTCAAAAGATGACCAGTTTTTTTGACGCGGGATTCGTACGCTGCCCGAAAGATGGAAGAAAGTAGTGGCCAGCGATGGACAATACTTTGAATCATAAATGTATAACCAGTTTTTTACAATAAAGCCTCGAATTTCGGAAAAAACGGCGGAAGCAAAGTTGTACACCTAATAATTAATTTTAATTTTAAGGTTCCAACTTTAATTTTAAGTAACGCACTTGTATTTGCGGTGCAAGATCCAAGATTAGTCGTCCAAAGACTATTCGGTAAAGAGATTCGTACGACGCTTGGGTGCTACGATAAAGCCACTGCTCTTTGTACTTACAGATCTCACAGTGCTCGCCGGTTCTGCCAGGCGGGCATTTGCACACGTATCCTCCCTGCGGCAGGATGTCGCAGGTGGCGCCGTGCTGGCAGGGCTCGCCGATGCACGGGTCCAGCGACTCCTCGCAGTTGCGACCGGTGAACTGCGGCGGGCATATGCACCTGTAATCCGGCGGCTCGTACTTCTCCACTGCGTAATTGCCATGCTCGTAATTGTTCTCATATTCGAACTCGTAGTCGTAGTCGCACTTGTTGGTGGCGCAATGTTTTCTCGCGCTCCTTTTGGATCCTTTCCCCGAGTCCACCGAGGTGCAATGGGTACCCCTGCACCTGACGATGTTCACCCCGCCTTTGTTGCCGTTGCCACCTCTGTTCCTGCCTCGACCTCTTTTCTGCAACCTCCTGCACTCCCGGCCGTTGCAGAGGTCCTCCTCGAAGATCGGCTGGCACGTCGCGCCGTTTTGGCAGGGCAGATTGGCACACGCGTTGTCACCGCACTCCTTTACACGATAGCTCTCGAGCACGTCCTTGTCACGGCCCACGTGGAGGTCCACGTGGATCCGGTTGATCTTTAGCTTGCGTATGCAGCCGAGCAGGCCGTGGTTGGTGCCGATATTGTCATAGACTCTATTGACAAATTCGTGGTCTCGTTAGTGTCTCCGGCTTGGAGTCGTTAACTTTGAACGCGATTCGCGATGCTTGAGGAATTAACCCTTTGCGCTCTTTGTGTCGGCGCCTTTCGGGTTTTAAGTCAGTTTCAAACTAGTGGTAGTTGGTTTAGATAGAGATTTAAAACCTTGCAGGCTCAGAAAGAGAATTCGCGATGCTTGAGGAATTAACCCTTTGCGCTCTTTGTGTCGGCGCCTTTCAGGTTTTAAGTCAGTTTCAAACTAGTGGTAGTTGGTTTAGATAGAGATTTAAAACCTTGCAGGCTCAGAAAGAGAAAGGATTAAAGAACGGCACAAAGAGAACTCACTGTTACTAGACACTTTGAGACATTTTGAAGAGTATTTAACATCTAAAGATTTATCGTCTATCATAATTAAATTGAAATCATTTTCAATTGGCGATGAAAATGAACGTTATATATTTCAGTTATAGAGCGATTAAAATGTTATTTAATGCGCTTAATTTAATTAAAATTAAATTATAATCGTGCGTTAAGTTAAATTAAGATTGCGTTGCAGTTGAAAACTATATAGACATACTGAGCAATCCTATTTTAGCAATATCACATTTGCAAGAATATTACTTGGAGTAATTGCTCGGCATATTTCCAATGAAGGTATCTTGATTCAGATCCAAGGATTTTAACATCCCCTGACTCTGCCCGGCCACGTCCTCGCCGTCGTTGAAGATCAGGACTCCGTCTTTGTGGTATCTCTTAGCTGCCACACGGTGGAAGGTCTTCATGGTCACCTTCTCCGGCGACGTGAGTATTACAGGCCCGTTTCCTAAGTTGTATCTGAATTGCACATATCTGGAACACGCGATCAATGATGACCTTTACGGATACATCAGTCCGCTGAATTAGATCGATAACAGAGTACATTTATTTTGTATTCTCTGTCATTGTTCATTTATTTATCTACTTATTTGTACGTGAGATTATTTCCTTTGATACGACAGATATAACGAAAAACGACGAGAAAGTATTAAAAAAAGAAAGAACTTAAGGAGCTATGTAAAAAATCAATTAAGATGCTCAATAAGAAATTAACATTAACACAAATAATTAAAGAAGTTGTAAGGTTCAATGTGGTATTTTTAGCGCGGTGTATCAAAAGGACCACCATACTTGTTATTTATCGAACAAGATTCTATTTTTATGCATTTATTTCATTATTTATAGTTGCATATTCTTCTTGAGGAAAATTTTCCTGAAAATCTATATATTTTGTATACTCTACTATATGTAAAGTGAACTACAAATTTCCGGTAAAACTTTCTTCAAAAAGGATTTTCTAGGATGCAATCTAAATAATAAATATTAATTTCAGACAAAATTGAGGTGGATATACATATACAATATTACAAAGATGAAAAACTATTCTTTCTTCATTTTTCATATTGATGTTTTATTTGTGCAACAATTGATCTGATAGCGATGCACAGTTAATAGAAGGAGACATATAAATGTTTAAATATACATATGTATATGTATCTCGAGTATTACTATAAATTATGAACTTTCTATCGCTGTATTTTCCAAACAGTGCAGCCAATAATTTTGAAATTCGCGTACAATGTTATAATGTGGTATATTTATTTTTAATATCATAATAATTTTCACATCAATTCCAAGGAGCACGCATGAAAAGTACCAATTTTAAAATACCTCAACTCTTTAATGGTCAATCTTTTTCGAATTATTTGAACAGTTTGGTAATATTTCAATTTATATGTAGTGCAAATTTCGACGAATATTTGATAAATTCATTTCACCTTACAACTTCCTTAAGTATACTGAAAAAAAAGATTTGATAATATTCAACCAGCCTGGATAATAATTACTAAATGCTTTGGTGAAATAGTTTCAATTTAATATACAAGTGAATTTAATATATAACCAAATAATTTAGTTTAGTTTAGTAAGTATTATTAGCAAGTAGCTTTAAACCCGTGCCACACTACGGATTGAAGATGGAAGATTACGAATTGAAGATTAACTTCGGTCTTAGCTTGCTTTGTTCTAAAACTGGTAGTTCCAATCTTCAATTCTCAATCCTTTATTTCCAAACTCCGTAATGTGACATGGGCTTTAGCAAGATTTGATATCTTTTACCAACATTTTACTACTTTATGTGGCATGTATTACCAAATAATTTGTTAAATAAAACCATATTGTTTATATAGTAATATACTTTTCACTAAGTTAGACTGACGCAGTAGTTTAGAACATATCTTTTACCAAAGTTTAATAATTATCAAGTTATTTGGTAATTATTACCAGATCATTTGGTACTAATTATCAAATTATTTGATTAGACTAATTTGATTCAACTAATTGAAGATTTTGTCTTACTACTTATTTTATAATTATTGCCAAGCAGTTGGTACTCATTACCAAATATCTGCAACGTTTAATCAAATGCATTAGTTAACTATTATCAGACTTTTCTTTCGGCGCAAGACTGCAAAAATCTACCTTTTGCTATCGAAGAACGAGCCGGTAATTCGATCACCTCGAGATTGTCATTCAAGCGACCAAACGGGATCTAGATGAGATCTAGCTTCCTCGATGAGAGGAGCTTTGCGCTAATGCAAAATGTCGATTGGTCCGCTGTAATCAGCCTGTAGGCCGCCGCCGGAGCAATTCACACAAAGCGACGGCGAAATTAGATCACGCCGTCAACAACGGAAATAATCAGGCGAATCGAGTTACCGCTCGTCTTGCGCCGTGCGATTGTCACAGCCCGCTCAAAGGGCATATTTTGCACGGCGAGAGATCACCGCGTTCACAGGAGCTACCGACCCGTCGACAACGGCCAGTGAGACAAAGTCGCCGGTGCCGTCGTTCTTCTGCTGATTGTACAGTATGATGCCGTTGTCCGCGTATGTTTTGAACTCGACCTCGATGCTGAATTTGTGATACGCTTTCAGCCGGTTCATCCTGACGTAGCTTTTGCCGTCAAAGGAGGGCACCTCGTAATCCCTTTTGTTGATCTCCTCGTCGCACAGCAGTCCGGTGTAATTTGGCCGGCACACGCAGGCGAAAGTCGCGCTGGGTAGGTCGATGCACGTGGAGGTCATGTGACATGGATACGAGAGGCACGCGCGAAATTCCTCGGTCGGTGTCACCGGCACGTAATTGGCTTTGACAGAAAGTTCATTTTCTTTTAATTACGCCGACGTGGGCAACGCGACGGATGACAGGTCGGCTGTGCAGGAAAACGAACGTTAGCAAGGTCGAATGGTACTTCACAATTCTTGCGAGATTCTTCTTTTAGTGTTCAATTAGCACTGTTTACTTCGGTATTCATTGTTATTGGTTCGATCAATTTCGTTTATCTAGATGTTATTTGAATTCCTAAAACCCTAAAAGTGTTCTGTCTGTTATAATTTTTTTCAACTTTATTAAATCGCTAGAATTCAAATAGAATCGTATTCCTTTTTATGATGTAAAAAAAATATTAAATTTCGCTTATTTTTCTGAAAATTATGAGCAAATGATATGCTAAAATATACATGGTAAAATACATCTTTAGAGTTCACTTCTTAATTATTTAAGGTTCTTGAGTTAATCAAAACAATAATATCTTAAATAGAATATCTTATACAGAATATTCTTTATACAGAAATTTATATAATGTTTATACATAATAATACAATTCTTTAGATGCAACAAAACTTAATTTATTGCCATTCTTTCTACGTCCCGACTTAAATAAGGACTTACTGAGAGTCGAAATTTTAATTCTACATTGATCCTGTAAATTCCGTCAAATTCAAAGTGTCAATGAATAATCTCGAGATTTATAAGCTATTGACTTTGCTAAATGCCAAATACAGCAAATGGTTATTTATTGCTGTTTTCTCTGTGTTAAAAAAACCCAAAGAGATACTCGTTCAAGTATTATTTAATATTCGAATTTTTTTCTTTTCTTATTATTTTACCGATTTTTTAATTGTTTAACATTCGATCATCTCAATATATTTTAAAAGAATTTCGTCTTTAGATTGCGAGTCGCTCGAAACAGCCGTGATTCGATGGCAAAGGTTCGAGATTCGATATTCGTTTAAACGTTTTTGAACAAAATGACAATCTAGGGACGCGCGCACGACGCGATCAAAATTGTCTCTTTTCGTCGTCATTTTCCCTTTTATCCGACAAATTATGCTTCGTGGAGAAAATGATAGGAAATAGATAAGCGAATGTAAAATTATTTAATAAGGGCAAATTTAATCGATTGGCATTTTTTACGGCATACGGCTTACGACACCTACTAGACCAGTGCTGGGACTCTGTAACTCGTTATTAACTCGTTATTGGAATTAACGACAGTTTTGTTATCGTTGCGCAACTTTTTTACGGTATACAAACGTTGCTGCGCAACGAAACTGTCGTTAACTCCAATAACGAGTTACAGAATCCAGTGCTGGAATTCTGTACACTGAGAGAAAAGACTGGTAACTATAACAAACTGCATTTAGTTACAGAAATTCATTGAATCCTTAGTAACTAATACTAAATATAATAATAATTACTAAATATTTAATAGATCGGGAGTATGACGTAATTGCATTTACAGTAACATCAATTAAATAATTTAGTAATAGTTACTTAATGTTAAATATTTAATATGAAATATATTACAGTTATGAACAGACATTTGATAATTATTATGAAATCGTTATATCCCATATAATAAAAAATTCAGTAGGTACGAGTTCTATTTTGTTACCAGTAAGTATGTTTTGTTGCAGCACAACGAAAAATTCATTCATTTGCAGCTATTACATCGTTTCAATATCTATTATTACAGATAGTTGGTTGAACCTATCAAAAATTTTGTAACTATTACAAAATCGCTTATTTTGCTCAACTATTCAATAAGTTTTATTTACCAAATATATTCTGGAAGCAAATAAATTTTACTTCTGTCAAATAAATAATTTATTTTACAGAACTAAATTAATTAATAAGTATTGCCATAGCTTTGGCCCGCTATATTTACGTCTATTATTTAGTAGTAGTAACCAAATTTTGATAATATTTATTAAATTCTTCTCTCAGTGTAAGGTCCAGTTCCACAACCTCCGTTTAACTTTCACTACTGGTTAAGTCTCAACAGTGATTGGTTAATTCTGATTAACTCTTCTTAATGCTAAATGCGATTGGTCAAGTTCAATGAAATAATTGGTTAGCTAAGTTAACTAGAGGTTGTGGAACTGGGCCTAACTCGTTATTGGAGTTAACAGTTTCGTTATCGTTGCGCAACTTTTCTACACGGAGAAAAAAGATTTAGTTGAATTAACCAAATATCTGGTCGAATATGAACGATCCAGAAATTCCGATTGAAGTAACTCGAATTCTGTTTAAGTTAACAAGATTTTTGGTAGACTAACCAAACATATCTGGTTATTTAACCAAACATGTCTAGTTAAATAACCAGACATGTTTGGTTAGTCTACCAAAAATCTTGTTAACAGAATTCGAGTTACTTCAATCGGAATTTCTGGATCGTTCATATTCGACCAGATATTTGGTTAATTCAACTAAATCTTTTTTCTCCGTGTAGAAAAGTTGCGCAACGATAACGAAACTGTCGTTAACTCCAATAACGAGTTACAGAATTCTAGCACAGTAGCCCTATTCTGTAACTCGTTATTGGAGTTAACGACAGTTTCGTTATCGTTGCGCAGTTTTTGTATACCGTAGAAAAGCTGCGCAACGATAACGAAACTGTCGTTAACTCCAATAACGAGTTACAAAATTCCAGCACTGAAGCGTAATGCAATGCTCGGTTAACGACAAAAAAGAGTACACGACGCGCGAGCATACTGGGACAATTGGCAAGAAATGTTTACATACACATGTATGTATACATACACATACACATAGGACGCGTTCCACTACACACACATCCCTTTCCATCGGCAATCATCGTAGCTTGTCACAATAAGCGCCGGGCGATCAAACAGTCAAAACGTTCGCGACCTTCAAGGTATCAAATTTACCTTCGTGCCTCACGGACTGTTCCGGGGTTTCTATTCAGTTCCGGGCCGGCAAGCGACACGCACACTACGGACCGCGCTATGTGTCGATACGTTTCTATTATTGCTCCCGACTAAACTATTTCGTCGGTACTTTTGAGACATTTAATTCCCTCGTCCGCATCGCGTTTCTTGACACGTATATTTTCGATCGAACTGTGTCCACGCGAGTGTCAGTAAAAGTGTCAGTACAAGTGCCACGACGGAGCGAATTTCTCCACTGGAATGTTGGGTCGAGAAGCCAGGACGGAGGACGCAGGACGCCGGGCGACGACGCATCAGATATTTTCAAGGTACGCCAAATAATTTGTTATACGAGAAGTTTCCGTTTTTAACGAACGTTTGACGAACTTACCGAGGATTAAGAAATACCCGAGTCGAAATTTAGGCTGGCATTCATAGTTTGTCATGATTTGACATATAATTATAGCTTCATTGATTTATCAATGAATCAATTAATCATCAATCGGTATCTGCATTTATAACGTTATTTCTTACAAGGAACATTAATCCAAATAGCCGAATAATGTTCAATGAATATGGATCTACAAGTAATGATGTTTTCAATCAAAGATATCAAATATGCTATGAATCATTCATACAGCTATGAATACCGGCCTTAGAATATAATTAAATATATAGTATTATATATATGGCAAGTACTGATTTTCATGTCTAATAATGCTTTTCTGGCCGCGAGTACGATTTTGTTAACACGAGTCAACGTCTTTTTTTGCTTTTGTTTAGCCTTTGTTGCTATAAAAAAACCTAGAGTTAAATCGCTATAAATAAACAGCATTATTGGACACATAACTGTTATCTTTGCCTTTCCAGCTTCATATCAGCTCTTTTAAGAGCTACAAATCTCATCAAAACTTGCAGAAAAAAAGAAAAGATAAATTAGGAAGAGATGAGATTAACGTTTTGTTTTCTTCTACTCACATTTATCCACTCATTAAACTTCATTAGATATTATCATCATTTTAAATATAGTTAAATAATTTAACATCTGCTTATCCGATTTAAAAAAAATCCATATAAATTTCGTTCGAATACAGTCATTTCGCCAATTGCCAACCACGCCTACATATTCGTTAGTTAATATATTAACGTATGATAACGCTACGTCTCGCTCATTGTCAATTATAGTATATCTGTAACGATGGGTTATTATCGAGTAATTATCGAGAAATAGTGATTCTGGCAGTTTGTTTTTAGTCGATTGAAAAATATCTTTTGAAGATTCCGGGAGAGCCTCACGTATAAGTAGAACACGTGTTGCTGCCATAATTTCCATAACTTATTCCACCACTTTTCTTACTCTTTTGTTGGAAGGCTTTTGCCTGGACACTTGACACGCGTTTAGCCTTGTACATACTGAACATAGAATAGAATCTTTTAACAGAGATTAGATAGATGGGAGGAATTTGGGGAGACATAGACAACAAAAGCGAGCTAACTTAAAAATAGAGCACAGACCGCTCTGCTGGTGCGCAGTTTAAGTTACGAGGGAGGATAATAGATTAACGGGGAGGAGCGTGCTAAGAGGAGCAACGGGAAGGACACGGGCTTTGTTAAATAATGAATTGTCTGAACCGCGTTCGATAGCCGAGAATTTTTACCTCTTGCTGGTTCCGAGCAAACAATATGAGTTTTCAGAGATTCTCAGGCCGAGCGGTGCAACTATCGTGAATGGCAATTGGCGAGTGTTTATACACCCGTGCACATAATTTTTTCGACATTTCCCTGCGGGGGAGATGCATCGAGGGATTTTGGTAACCGCTTCAAGATCCACTTAAGGTGATGAGATACTAAGGTAAGTGATGAAGACGTCGAGAGAGGTGGAATGTCCGACGATTCATAGACTGATCTAGAGTTCACAGTGATGACTCCATCATTCGGATGTCTTTTCGTGAGCGCGTTTCTTATATAGCCACACTTCGCTAATTTCCAATCACGTGTATTACGTTTGCCAATTAACGTTTTGTTTTCTTCTACTCACATTTATCCACTCATTAAACTTCATTAGATATTATCATCATTTTAAATATTTTTTGAAGATTCCGGGAGAGCCTCACGTATAAGTAGAACACGTGTTGCTGCCATAATTTCCATAACTTATTCCACCACTTTTCTTACTCTTTTGGAAGGCTTTTGCCTGGACACTTGACACGCGTAACAATAACTTCACACTCTGTTCATGAAATATCGAGCAATAATCGAACGGTAGTGATTGTGGCAGTTGATTATCAGCCCGTGGAGGATGTATTTTTGGAGACTCCGGTAGTTTTGTGTATGGGATACGCGTTATGATTTTTTCAAAAGCCATTGCACGTAGAAAAATTTTAACCGTAACCGTAAGATCGTAAGAAACCAATCAGAGTTGATTATTTTCCTTGCGTTCGAGGAATAATCAACTCTGATTGGTCAGTTTTCTTACGTTCTTATAGTTACGATTAAATTTTTTTTTATGTGCAAAGGCCCTAACTGCCAGCACTTCTCTAACTCTTTCGTTGGTAACTTCAAGCTCAGTACTTCTTCGCGATGTTTAGCCTTGCTCTATTAGACGTAATGGACCGAACATAAAGGACGAAGATAGACAAAGTAGAAAAGGCGAGAAAGAGGAAGGATAAATAGGTTGATTGGCTGTGCAAGGAATAGAAACATAGAAAAAGAGTAGACCAACTATAGAGCAAAGGTTGCTTTACTGGGTGTAAAATTGAAACAGCAGGGAAGGGTATTAATACGTCAAAGGGTTGAAGAGAGGATTGAAGAGGGACAGCGGGAAGGGAGAACGAGCCTTGCTAAATAATTAGTTAAGTTGAACTGTCCGACAGATGAAAATTTGTATCTTTTCTAGGGTTTGTATAAACGATGTACGTTTTTATTGAGATTTTCTAATTGGCCAGGTCGACCATTGCGAATGGAAGTAAGCGAGTGTTGGTTCTGTGCATTCAATATATCAGGTGTTTAATTTTTCCATAATTTTCTTTGCGGAGAGTGATCGGGTAGAAAGCGGAAAACAAAGGAACGGCTTTGATTTTAACATTTAATTTGAAAACATTAAAATAAACATCGAATCTCGAATTTTCATTGTAGAATCGTGGCTGTTCCGGGCAGCCTGCAATCTAAGAATCAAATTTTATTAAAATATATTGAAATAAAATCGCGCAGACATTAAATAATAAAAAATAATTCAAATGATTTAAAAAATAGAAAACAAGTTTAAATATTGAATAATATTAAATAATCTCAAATAATATTAAGTATTATATTAGATATTAATTAAATCCTTGAACGAGTGCTTCATCGAGCTTGTCTAACATGAACGAGACAGCAGCAAGCATCGAGGTAAGTCAATAGCTTCCTATATCTTTGGATTCTTCATTGACTTTTCAAGTTCGATGGAATTTGCAAGGTCAACGTTGAATAAAAATTTCGACTCTGGTACACGTATTGAGAAATTTTTTCTCAGCAAAACTTTCTGCACATATCGTTTCTTTGTTCAGATACAATCACATTTTACATAGAAGTATAGAAAAAGAGTAGATTAAAATAATTGGCAAAGCAAAGGCTGCTTTACTGGGCGCAATTTTTGAAAGTTTTAAAATTTTTGTAAAGTTGCCTCTCCCC